CTGAAAATATCCTTCCCCACTAAACGGTTTTATCTATTGGAAAGGAAGGACCTTCCATTTGAGATCTTCCAGAGTGGAATCATCAAAATCTTATTCCTTAAGAGAGCAATCTAGTTGTAGATCTCTAAAGGAATTGTGATTTCCTCCTTTATGAGCGGCTACATAAATAGTGCACTTGTTTGGCTCACTTTCATCATATAAATCAAATCGAGTGATTAGCTCAGTGCCAAACATGTAAACTGCCATTATTACAAACTTCTTTCAACCACGCTTCACTGCGGTAAAGTGGGAGCCATAGGACTGAACCTATATGCTCTAATACCAGACAAAGGTTTTTATGTGTAGAGAGGGTTTTCCAGTAATTCCCGCTTTTTGGTATCAAAGCTCATAGATTGAATCCTTTGGCCCCTTCTCTACTGCAGTGAAGTGTGGTGAGCATTGGAATAACTATTGTTTTGCAAGAGAAAGAGATTTAATTATTCCATGAATGATGCATGATCTTCTAGTGTTTCACCAAAATAAAAAAGGCTGAAAGAAAAGAATGGGTATGTACCGAAGCTTATCTCATACATATGATTGAATCTCAAGGAAGTGTGTATTATAGTAATGATGGAGGAAAATTTTATGCTCTTCCACGCTTATATTTAGCACCAAAAAATGGTTTTGTCTGCCCTATGTTTTTTGAGATTTCAGAAAAGGAATTTTTAAGAGTTGATTTCGAAGACATCAAAACAAGTTTGTTGTGCAATGGAGATCTTGAAAAGTTTTAGACTCTGCCTCTGCTTCTACTCTTGCTCCAAATGATGCAAGTACAGATGATGAAAATGAAGAAATTGTGGGACAAAGTAAGATGATGACTTGGAAAGATGTAGTCTCGGGAAAAAAGAACAAACAACAGGAAGATTGCTCAACATCCTGCCATACCAAATAATCGAAGAAGACAAGTTCTCTATCAAGTGATAATGAATCTAATGATGCATTAGTTTTTTCTGATGAAGATGCTTATGTTGAACAATTGAAACAATGTTTTCAAAGTGATTATAAGGGTGATTATAGGAAACTTTTAAAAAAAGCATTCAATGAGGAAGAAATTTAAAAGGAACATATGTATCAAATTCGAAAAATGGTGCAAGGATGATTATAGGAAACTGTTTGAAAAACCATTAAAAGAGGAAGAAATTTCAAAAGAAAATATGTATCAAATTTGGTGCATTCTCAAAATCTATTACTAGTACCTGCAAAAATTGCAATAAATGGAGTTGCAAATTGGAAAACGATAAGTTATTTCTTGATATTGGCCCTAATATATATTTTTGCACCAAAGAATTATGGAAAACTTAGGTGAACTATTCACAAGGGCAAGAAGTTGATACCATGAATAATAGAATAAGTGTAGAGGTTTTAGAGAGGGAAAGAGAGCTTGATACCAGAAAGGAATGAGCAACATTCTAGAAAGGGGATGGAAAAAGAGAAATTAAGCAAAGAGAGGTCAAAAGGGTGGAGATAGAGCTAAAGCTTAAGAGGGCTTGAAAGAGGGGAAGACGTAAAGAGGGAAGTAAAGAGGGCTTCAAACAAGTGAAGAAATAAAGAGGGAAGTAAAGAAGACTTTAAGAGAAGTAAAGAAGTGTTCCAGAAAGAGGTTGAGAAGTAAAGAAGGGTTTAATGAAAGTAAAAAAGGTACCACAAAGACTTGAAGAGCAGTTTAATGAAGAAAGACTTGAAGCGCAGTATACAAAGGTTGGAAACACCAAGAACTTACTCTATTTTTTGGAATTTTTTATATTAAAAACAATTTGGAAATAAAGACACACCAACGACTTGACTCTATCTTTGGGATTTTTGTGTCTTAGCAACTTTGATTTGGTCTTAGAACCTTAATTCAAGAATGTTGCAATAGATTGTTTCCAAAAAAATAAATGCAGGTGATAGCTACGTTCGTCTTTGGAAAACAAGAAAAAAAGTAAGACATTGCTAAATAAAATTCTCAATAGCTCTCTTCATCAAAGATTGTTATGGGCTCCATGACCTATACACAAGAGAGAGCTCACATTTCCAAGCATGCATGATATTCCATCACCTACAAGGCAAACCCATGTATGAAGCGATTTTGTTAACCAACAATCAAGCAATAGAAGCCCTTTGAGAGGTGGACAAGACCCAATGAACTAGCCCCAATGGAGTTTAGCGTATTTTTCGTGACCTCATTCCTCAATAGAACCACAACACGATTATACTTTGTATCTCATCCCTACTTCTTCTTTCTCCTTGCCCTCATTTGTTGCCTTTCCTTGAAATCAGACACAAGTCACAATTTACAAGGTGTGTAAAGTTGTGAACAGTAACATAAACAGGAAATCATGACATTTAGAAAGCTTTTAGGTCATAAAAAAAATAGAGATCCATACTCTATTGTATATGAACCCAAAAAAATGTGCCATTGAAACTCGCACCCAAAGAATAGGATACTCGATTCTATGTTGGTGGAATCGCAGTTTTGCTAGCTCATGAAACGATGATTTTTGGTATAACGATATGGGTCCCATTAAAATAGGATCGAGATCTCTTATTTCCTAGATTGAGATCCCATATTTCGGAGTGCTGGAACGAGATCCGGGAGCGAAAACGACCCCTCCTTAGAAGATCCTGGAAACTATGGCCAAGAAACCAACCAAGTGGCTGAGTGGCTTGGCAAAGCAGGGGCAGTAAGTAGGGCGGCAATGAGCAGCTCCACCACTAGCCATCTAAGTTCCTCTATCCCCTTAATAGCCACATCCCTCTTCTATTTCCTACCTTTCTATTTCCTACCTCTTATCCTTTCCCTCCCCCCCCCAATCTCTCTCTCCCCATCCAATGTCTCTCCTCCCCTCCTCTATCCTTCCCCCTTTTGTATGCCTCCTCCTTCTATTTCTCTTCCTTGTTTATGTACAGGAGCCACAAGGTGTGATGCCATTTTTTAGTTTTTTAGACACTCGCACATTTTGAACAGTAAGGGGTTTTAAGATACCAAATTTTGTATAAGGCTCCAGACATGTGGGTAGCCCATTTTTTTAAGCTTTATGTAATGTTCTTACAGTACCTTAATATACAGATCAAATATTTCCTAAAAGGAAAAAAAAAACTACACAGGCTCCACTCTGCCATGACAATGCATACAATTTTGTTTTAAAAAAAAAGAAAGACACAAAATGAGGGGAAAATATAAATGGGATGGTCTCCTTATGCAAGAGTGATTAGCATGGTAATACTTTCACAAATTCATTTAATGCAAAAATTTCAAAAAATTCTACAAAAACAGCAATGCTTCTTTGCAACGAAATCATCATTACTCTAAAAAATACTAGTCAAAAGATCATGAAAACGGACTGAAGAACAAAAGTTTATTGCATTTCACGTGTGGCTGCACCTAACATGGTCCCTGAACAGGTAAAATTGAGAAGAAGCTCAGACTAATTTGTTTTTAATGTATTTTATTTCTCAATAGGTCTACAGCATACTTCAAGAGATTGACATACAGTATTCTACTGGTCCATATCTAGCAGTTATGGCATAGTTCATGCATATATGGAATCTCAAAAATGCCAAGCTCGCTGATAAAGGCCTTCTATTTGAACTCCACGGTCCACTAATTTAACCACAGCAAGATGCACTCAAAGACTCCTAAATGCAATATCAAAAGCCCTAAGTTCATATCAGGAGTTGTACTCTTTACACGAGTTCGCATGACACAACAATCTTCTTCGAAAATGAGGGTGCATTTGCAATTGGTAACATAATGTATAAGGTTTTCTCAAAAGCCTTTATGTGTGCCGCTTGGTTTAGTTCATATAATAAATTAAACTATAAAGGTTTGGAAAAATGATGGGCACCATCTCCCGCTTTGACCATTGGAGGCAAAATCAGGAAACTGCAGATGAACATATATCCCCTTTGCTACAGGCATTCGTGTTGCTTTGTGCAACACAAATCTAATAATCAACAGCCTTTGCTTCTCTCCATTCTGCTCCAGAAACCCTAGCCTTCGAATGTCAATCAAGGGTTTCTGGATATCCTATCACATGGAAAAATAGAAATTCTGATTATCCTTTGAATCTTGATTCCTTCAAGGATCTTCAACCCTCTATAAAGTTTGGCAAGCTTCAAGAAAAGTTTGCTAGCATGTGATAAACCCAAGTTTTCCATGCATTGGGTCCACCTCAAAGTGAGATTTTTATTGCAGGGCATGATTCTCCTCTATTGGTAATGCAAACAAATCACTTATGTATACAACATTAAAAGTGGCATAAATTATTCACCCAAAAACAATGGCGTAAATTCCCTTAGAGAAGGGTACAATAAACCTCATAATACATTGATGCAGAATACAAAACACTGAACCATAAATCCAACCTCAGTTGGATCAGCCTACTCTTAAAAACAAATATGATGAATAATCCAATTTGAGGATCATGTGCATATTCATTAAATAAAGGTTCAATGATGCAACAAAGTCCGAGTCCTATCTCTATCACAAACTCCGTTTAAACTTCACATAAACAATTAACAATTAACAAAACAAAATTTGAGAGCACAACCTAGAAAGTAGTTTTTTAGCCCAATTAAGATAGGCTGCCCATCTTGGGAAGATGCTTAGATATAGGCCATAGAAGGATTTTTTCCCTTTTCAAAATTTCTAGATGGTTTTGCTACGATTAGATAAACAATGTTAAAAAAAACAAAAAATGATTTTAAGTTCGTAAAAGCCTAGATCTTGAAATTCACCAAATGGATAACTTAGATTCCTTGTTGGAGGGGACTCATTTTGACCATATCTAGGGTGAAAATTGAATTTTGTTTTTTTTTAGGATTGAGGGTGTGTGCACTTACGGGGTCAAACAAATGCTACAAATATGATTTTATAGAGGTGTCC